CCATATGCTTGAAATTAGTATTATGAAGTATCAGAATTCTCATGCTCATGGCAGTTATATTCATGGTGGCCTAAAGATGAAAATAACCTAAATGTTCACGTGTTGAGGACAAGATGGGTATCTCAGGAAGCCATTGTGATAAATGAATGAAGACAATAGCAGTGGTTAAAGGACTATACACTTATGAAGGACTCTCACAGTCAGTGTTGTATTGGTCATGGGACAGCATGTAATTATAGCTTAGGCAGTGTCAGTGCACTTCTTTTTCCCTTCTGATTTTAATCTCTAATGCATTCTCACTTGTCTGATGGATGTGAGAGCATCTGTCATCTTGTCTACACTGCAGGTAGCAATAGAGAATGAAGGGCAAAAAGAGCCCAGAATCTAGATGAAGCAGTCATCTTCAAAGGGTTTTACACAATTATCCACCATGATCAAGCAGGCTTCATCCCAGGGATGCAAGGGTGGTTCAGCATACAAAAGTCTGTCAATGTAATACACCATATAAACAAACTGAAAGAAAAAAAAAACCACATGATCATTTCACTAGATGCTGAAAAGGCCTTTGACAAGATTCAACACCCCTTCATGATAAAGGTCTTGGATAAATCAGGAATACAGGGAACATACCTAAACATAATAAAGGCAATTTACAGCAAGCTTACAGCCAACATCAAAGTAAATGGAGAGAAACTCAAAGTGATTCCACTAAAATCAGGAACAAGACAAGGCTGTCCACTCTCCCCATACTTATTCAATATAGTACTTGAAGTTCTAGCCAGAGCAATAAGACAACACAAGGAGATCAAGGAGATACAAATTGGAAAGGAAGAAGCCAAGTTTTTACTATTTGCAGATGACATGATAGTATACATAAGTGACCCCAAAAATTTGGCCAAGGAACTCATACAGCTTATAAACACCTTCAGCAATGTAGCAGGATATAAGATTAATTCAAAAAAATCAGTAGTCCTCCTATATACAAATGACAAATGAGCTGAGATACATCATCCTTTACAATAGCCACAAATAATATAAAATACCTTTGGGAGGCTGAGGGGCCCCCAGCTGGATCAGGCCCTCTGTATAGGTGAGACAGTTGATTGGCTTTATCTGTTTGGGAGGCATCTAGGCAGTGGGACTGGGTCCTGTGCTCATTGCATGAGTTGGTTGTTTGAATCCTGGGGCTTATGCAGGGACGCTTGGCTCAGTCTAGGAGGAGAGGACTGGACCTGCCTGGACTGAGTCTACCAGGTTGATCGCAGTCCTTGGGGGAGGCTTTGCCCTGGAGGAGGTGGGAATGGGGGGTGGGCTTGGGGGAAGGGGAGGGGGAGAACAAGGGAATCTGTGGCTGACATGTAGAACTGAATGGTATTGTTAAATAAAATAAAAAAACCTTTGGGTAACTCTAACTAAACAAGCGAAGGACCTGTATGACAAGAACGTTAAGTCCCTGAAGAAAGAAATTGAAGATATCAGAAAGTGGAAAGATCTCCCATGCTCATGGATAGGTAGGATTAACATAGTAAAAATGGCAATCTTACTAAAAACAATCTATAGATTCAATACAATCCCCATCAAAATCCCAACACAATTCTTCACAGACCTGAAAAGAACAATACTCAACTTCATATGGAAAAACAAAAAACCCAGGATAGCTAAAAGAAACCTGTACAATAAAACAACCTCTGGGGTTGGAGATTTAGCTCAGTGGTAGAGCACTTGCCTAGCAAGTGCAAGGTCCTGGGTTCGATCCTCAGCCCAGAAAAAAGGAAAGAAACAACCTCTGGAGGCATCACAATCCCTGACTTCAAGCTCTACTATAGAGCTATAGTAATAAAAGCAGCTTGGTACTGGTATAAAAAACAACATGTATATCTATGGAACTGAACTGAAGACCCCAACATTAATCTGCACATCTATGAACATATGATTTTTGACAAAGAAGCCAAAACTGTACAGTGGAAAAAAGAAAGCATCTTCAACAAATTGTACTGGCATAACTGGATGTCAACATGTAGAAGATTGCAAATAGATCAATATCTGTCACCATGCACAAAACTTAAGTCCAAGTGGATCAAAGACCTCAACATAGATCCAGTTACTCTGAACCTGCTAGAAGAGAAAGTAGGAAGAAGTCTTGAACGCATTTGCACTGGAGATCATTTCCTAAATATAACACCAGTAGCACAGACACTGAGAGAAACAATTAATAAATGGGACCTCTTGAAACTGAGAAGCTTTTGTAGAACAAAGGACATGGTCAATAAAACAAAACGATAGCCTACAGAGTGGAAAAAGATCTTCACCAACCCCATATCTTACAGAGGGCTGATATCCAGAATATATAAAGAACTCAAGAAATTAGACATCAAAATGCCCAATAGTCCAATTAAAAAATGGGCTATAGATCTCAACAGAGAATTCTCAACAGAAGAAGCTCAAATGGCTGAAAGACATTTAAGGAATTGATCAACACCCTTAATCATCAGGGAAATTACAAATCAAAATGACTCTGAGATACCATCTTACACCCGTCAGAATGGTTAAGATAAAAAACATTGAAGACACTTTATGTTGGAGAGGATGTAGAGTAAGAGGAACACTCCTCCACTGCTGGTGGGAATGCAAGCTTGTACAGCCACTTTGGAAATCGATATGGTGCTTTCTTAGAAAATTGGGAATCAACCTCCCTCAAGACCCAGCTATTCCACTCTTGGGCATATACCCAAGGAATGCTCAATCTTCCCACAAGGGCACATGCTCAACTATGTTCATATCAACATTGTTTGTAATAGCCAGAACCTGGAAACAACCTATATGCCAGTCAAGTGAAGAATGGGTTAAGAAAATGTACATATATACAAACACTCAGCAGAGAAAAACAATGACATCATGAAATTTTCAGGCAAATGGATAGAACTAGAAAATATCCTGAGTGAGGTAAACCCAGACTCAGAAGGACAAACATGGTATGTACTCACTCATAAGTGGATACTAGACATAAAGTAAAGGACAATCAGACTGCAAGCCACAGATCCAGGGAGGCTACCTAGTAGGGAGGACTCTAGGATGACTGTGGCTTATAATAAGTTTTGGTTTTGCCCAGTCATTGGGCATGCTTTAGAGAAACATTTCACTATTAGGATAAGAATCTGTACTGTACCAAGCTGATGAAAAAAAATGCTGGCTGTACTTTCAGGAGGGGAGGCTAAAATCTTTTTAGATTATGGATTAGCCTAAAGAAAAATGTCTGCTGTAAATCAAACAGTGAAGGGGAAGATAAATAGGAATCTCACTTACACAACTTAAGTAAAACATAGCTCTCTGAACAGATGAAGATAGATTTCTTCTGTATCCCAGAATCTAATCAACATTTATATGTATAATTCAGCTATTATTTGGCTTAAAAGGGCTTATTGGGAAATGTTATCATTTTTACTATTTTCTACAGAGAAAATATTTTTCCAGTTTCAAATAACCCTAGACTTTTGAATTATAACCTGTTTTTATGTTCAAGCTATCTGTGTATTATTTGCCTGCAGTTGTACATAAAATGTTTTTACATTAAAAAAAGGAAAAATACTATAGAATTGTATTACATGAAATATATAGAACATACAAATTCATAGAGACAAGAAGATTAGACGTTATCTCAAGATGGAGAAGAAAGGAATATAGAGCAGTGATTCCTAAGTATAGATTCTCTGTTTTGTGTAATGGAAAAGCCCCACAAATGGACAGTATTATCAAGACATAATATCATTAATGTAATAAATCATATCATAAATATAGTTATTGAATGAATACTGTGAATGTAATCAGTGAATACCATAAATGTAATTAATGTCATGAGTGTAATTAATGAATATCATGGGTGTAATTAATATCTTGAATGTAATTCATGCCACTGAATTGTGAACTTAAAATGATTACAATTGCAAATATTGTGTTCATTTAAAAAAAATAAGGTGGAATGTCATCACCATACATTATATGTGTGTATGAAATTGAAGACAGTGATGTTCTAAAATAGAAAGTGGTGATTGTGTCATAGGCTTATGATGATGCTGGACTAAAGTCTATCAAACTGTGCAAACAGGCAAATTATATGCTATGTGAATTATTTGTTAATAAAGATTTTATGAAATATTTTTTAAAAAGCCATATTCTTCACCAAAATACCACAAGAATGATTTCTAGGCAACATACTAACATTCTTCTCTGAAACCTCTTGATCCACCCAACAGTGGTTCAAATCACACTCAGTACCACTATCTTCCATGCTCCTACTAGCATGGCCCATTAAGCAGCACTTAAAACATTCCACTGCTTTCCTAACCTAAAGTACCAAAGTCCAAATTTCTCCAAACAAAAACATGGTCAAGCCTATCAAAACAGTATCCTAGTCCCTGGTACCAATTGATCTTAGTTGCAGTTTTTATTGCTGTGTCAAAACACCATGACCACAAAGCATGTTGGGGAGGCAAGGCTTTATTTGGTTTACACTTTCAAATCATAGTCCATCATTGGGGAAAATTAGGACAGTAATTCAAGCAAGCCAGTAAGCAGCTACCCCCAGGGTCTCAGCTTCAGCTCCAAACTTGCTTTTTGGTCATGGTGTTTCGGCACAGCAATAGAAACCCTAGACACAAGGAGATCCATGCATGCCCCCTATAGCCATCCTTGTTACTTAGCCTCTCTAGGTCTGTAGATTTTACTATGATTATTGTTTACTTAACAGCTAGTAGCCATTAATAAGTGAGTACATATCATGTTTGTCTATGTGGTTCTGGGTTGCCTTACTCAGGATAATAAAGAACTTATAAAACTAGACATCAACAAACCAAATAAATAAAAAAAAATGGAGTAGTGATCTAAACAGAGAATTCTCAACAGAGGAATCTGAAATGGCTGATAAACAAAGAAATGTTCAACATCCTTAGCCATCAAGGAAATTGAAATCAAAACTACTCTGATATTTCATCACACCTGTCAGAATGGCTAAGGTTAGTAGCACATGAGAAAGCTCACACTGGCAAGAATGTGGAACAAGTGGAAGGAACACTCTTCCATTGCTGGTGGGAGTACAAATTTGTACAGCCACTGTGAAAATCAATATGGCAGTTCTTCAGATAATTGGGAATTCATATTCTCAGGACTTAACTATACCACTCTTGGGGATATACTCAAAAGATGCTCCTCCATTTTACCACAAGGAGACTTGCTCAACTCTGTTCATAGCAGCTTTATTCATAATATCCAGAAACTGCTATGTCTGTAAGTGATTGTGTTGATTGATGATGGATGTGGGGGGAGGCTCTTCCACTCATGGTAGCAATATCCCTAAGCAAGTGGGCCTGTGCTGGATAAGAGAGTTAGTTGAGCATGAGACAGTGACCAAGGAAGAGAGAAAGCCAGGGAACAATGTTTGTCCATGGTTTTTGCTTTCAGTTGCTAGCTTGAGTTGCTGTCCTAAACTTAAAAAATGACAGACTTTGATCTGACAAAATTAGCCAAATAAACCCATTCATTACTAGAGATGCTTTTGGTTAGAGAATTTAATCACAGCAACAGAATAGCAAGTTAGAACAACAACAACAACAAAACCATAACACACACACACACACACACACACACACACACACACACACACCCCAAAAGTGGTTTTTGTTGCTAGGCAAAAACCTGGGAAATGTTGTCTTTTGAAGGAGTGTGGAAGATATCAGGACTTTAGATCACAAAAGGCATAGAAAGCTTTACATAGAGCTTAACTGGCTCTTCTTGTAGAACCTGGAAGATGGGAATGTTGAAAGTAATGCAGACAGTACAGTAGAGGTCAATGTCATAGGGTTTTCAGTTGGGAAGAGACTCTGAAAAATTAAGCTAGAGGTCATTTGTGTAATATTTTTGCCCAAAATCTTTCTTATTCTTTCCATGCCATGAGAAATTGAGTAAGACAGAATTAAAAGGTACTGGGTTGATTTCTTAGATGGAATATTTACTTTGTTGGATGGTTATAACCGATGACTCATTCAGTTCTACAGTGAAATAAAAGCAACATGTTGGACAGAATTAAATTAAAATATAGTTTTAGATAGCAGTTAGGTGCTAAAACAGAGGCAGGAACTTTCAAGGAGATCATCCTGATTGAAGAGCAGAAGCCTAGCAAGGTACCTTAAGTGTAAGACTTGATCTTCTTAAGCCTTCAGTTAATGTAAGGACTAGGCAAAGTGATTCCTAGTCTCAGGAAGCAACTTCATACAAAACCTGTTGCAACTGTGGTCCAAGCTTGGCATGGTCCATCCCAATTAAGAAGCCAAACTTGGCAGGATCACCCATGTTGTGCTGGTTCTGGAAACAAGGACTAAAAATTTCAAGTCATGGTTCTTAGTCTGTGGTTTCAGTTCACCACTGTTGCAGGCATCTATGTTTGGCAGACTCAGAGATCCAGTATGAGATTTCATTGAATGAAGCTGTGAGGATGAAACCTGGATTGCATTTTGAGACCACAAGATGTTGAGATATCTAAGCTATGATAGATCTTCAATGGAGAGCTGCATATAGGGATTGCAAGTAGCTAAAGAGAGAGATGTATGAGAAGCTGCAGGGAAAATGAGCCACCCAAGCTCTTTGAAACTGAAGCCCCATGTGTCTGAGACAGAGCTACAGGATTTGGTATTTGTCCTGCTGGGTTGCATCTTGCCTTGGTCCAATCTTCTCTCACCATGTCCCCATTCCTCTCCTTTGGAATGGGAATGGGCATTCTGTGCCACTGTATGTTGGAAAGAGGTAACTTGTTTTCTGATTTTACAAGATGTGACAGTCATGAGATTGCCTGAGTCTCAGAAGAGACTTTGGATATTTGAACAGTTTAGGGGCTGTTGCAGACTATAGCAATCATTAAAGTTAGAATAAATACATTTTATTCATGGAATGAGCATGAGCCTATAGTGACCTGAGTCATTGAATGAAAAGCTCCCAGATAGGATGATTTGAACACTTGTTTCTTCTTTGTGGCTTTCCTTGGGGTTCTTGTAGAACCTTTAGTAGGAGGAGCCTTTCTGTTTGAAATTCCTCATTGGGAATGGGATTTGCATATCTATAGCCTGAACCCATTTTCTGTTCCTTGTGTCCTGCTGTCATGCCTTCAACACTATTATAGATGGTTTTTGAAGATAAGGTTTCTATGTGAAGTCCTGGCTGTCCTGAAAGTAGCTCTGTAGACCAGGCTAGCCTCAACCCAAAGATCCAAATGATTCTGTCTCCGAATGCTTGAATTAAAGCTGGGCCAACATGCCTGTGGGTTTTTTGTTTTTTGTATTATTGGCTAATGGACCTGGAACGTAGGTTTATGTCCATATCAAGCATATGCTGTTGTGCTGAGCTTCACCTACATCTTGAATTTTCAAAATTGGCAGAGGGTATCATTCTCTTTCCCAGGATGGCAATTAATGTTTTCTGAAACTTCTGAGTCATTGGATTATAGGTTTGTTACATTCTTCTTACCTACTATGTTTATTTTGAATCCTTTTAAATGGATATAAGTCTTTTGCCTATATGCAGGGATATGCACCACATATGTGCCTGTCCCTCACAGTAGTCATAAGATGGCCTCAGTATCCCTGAACTTGGAGTAAATGGATAGTTGTGAACTCCCATGTAAGTACTGACAATTGAGCCCACCTATCTGCAAAACAAGCAATAGCTCTTAAATGTGGAGCCATCTCTCCAGTCCTTTGTTGTTTATTTATGATCAACATTTACATTGCTAATGTTTTTATCTGTCTATTTATAACTATAACACATTCCTTTTAGTAAAGATCTTATTAATGTTACAGTTTAAACTGTGGCACTTCAGGTTCCTGCAAGATCAATACAGAATTGGATTGAGTGAATAACTCTATAGGAACTTTAGTAAAAACTTCTGATTTCTTTCTACCTTTTTAGTTTGTTTGATTTTTTGTGAGGGAGATGTGATCTTATTAATATGTAACTCTGGACATCCTGAAACTCATTAGGTAGGCCAAAGTGGCATTTGATGCAATTGAATCCACCTGCCTCTGCCTCCTGAGTGCTGGCATCATTAAAAGCATGAGCCAATATCCTCAGCTTGCCCATCTTTTTGTAGTTAGCAATTATTCATTCAACTTCTCTGATATGTAGTCAGTACAATTCATCTGCTTGCTTGTCTCTATGTCTGTTAATTGGCATTTCTCTTTCAAAGCTATATCCTATTCAAAGGGTATAGAAATGACAGGTGAACCTCTTATTCAGTTTACTTCTAAAGTGACTTGGTGATTACATTAGAAATTCTGTGTCATGGAATAAGTGTGGGAAGCACCAGAACTATGAGGCTTTGACAATTATATTGTCAAAGAAGTATACATTTACAGTGTTATCACTATCCTGCTTTCTTTTGTACACATGTATGGGGAATTTTAGAATGCAGTAACCTACAATAATGTGCATGTTGACTTCACTCAGGAAGAGTGGATGTTGTTGGATCTTTCCCAGAAAAGCCTCTACAAAGACGTATTGCTGGAGACCTATAGGAACCTCACTGCTATAGGTAAGACTATGGATTTTCCTTCATGTTTCAAAATAAGGGGACAATGTTTCTTGTTTATTGATACACTTGTGTAATTTTGTTTGAGCAAGAGGAAGAATGAGGTGAAAAATGAGCCAAATTTCTAGGGTTCTCTAAAGATAGTAAGTTAAATTTTGCATAATTTCCAATAATATATCATACATTTTCTGGTACTATATTTCAGGGTACAGGTGGGAAGATCATAACATTGAAGAACATTCTAGAAGACATGGAAGGTAATTTTCACATGCAAGCTGATACAAATGTGCCTCTGAAGAAATTTTAATATGTCCTGAAAATTTTAAAGAAAAGCGGCAGTGTAAATAGCACAGTTTAAAGTGTAATGATGATCATTAAACTCTCACAAAACCATATACATCAACATTAGGTAGCTAATCTATATTTCCAAGGCATTCCTCTAAGAAAGAAAGCAAAGAAATACTTCCTTAACTGATATCACCATTTGAATCATAGCTCCAGGAGAGCTATGCTGTAGAACTGCCCGTCCATTTAGTTTCATCTCAGTCAGACATTGCAAAGGATATATACATTGAATAGGTGATAAGCATATGTCCAAAACCTTCTAATAAGCAAATAATCCACAGCAAAGCTAGTGTTACTCATATACTTGTTGTGATTTTACTCAGTTCATTGAGATGGGCAGATTATGAGTCAAAAAAGGTTGTTGTGAAGAAACCTTAATCCCTATACTACATGTCTATAAGGAATAGAAAGTCAAACTGTGTGAATGCAATGTGGAAACCATTTACTTGTTACTCTTCCTTTGATAGGTATAGCATATTTCAATATGTATACAAGCCATGAGAGCACAGGGATGTGGAAAGAACAACATAACTTTCTTTCCCAGAACAACTAGATGATATCTGAGTAAACTTGTTGAACATGAAACAAATTTACAATTAATTAGTTTTCCAACTTCCTTGGGAATACATTAGTAAACTCATAGTGCAGAAAGGCTCTATGAGTACTGGAATGTATAAATACTTCTGTTTGTCCTGGTCCACCTTGCAAATGTAGTATGACTCACACTGTATGAACATTTATGAATGCAGTAAGTATGGTAAAGCTCTGAGTTCTTTCAGTTCTATTCAAGTTGTGGAAAATCTCATATAGAAAAAGATGCTATAAATGTGAGCTATGTAATAAAGGCTCTTACCATCACAGGTATCTTCAAAGATGGAAAACAACCTTTAATGAAAAGTAATACCATGAGTATAAATCTTAACATCTTATTACTTTTTACAATTAGACCAAATTGTAAAAATTAACTCATACAGATATAAAGATTCATCAGTGTGATGAACGTGGTAAGGCTTTAATATGTGCCACTTATTTTTGTAGGTATGAAAGAAGTCATTCAGAAGAGAAACCCTCTGAGTATATTCAATGTGTTAAAGCCTTCGTATATTGCAGTCCTCTTCAGAGGCATGAAAGAATTCATACTGGAGAGAAACTCCATGAAGGTATTCAGTATGGTGAAGCTTCTGGATGCCACAGTATGCTCCAAATACATAAATGAACACATACTGGAGAGAAACCCTATGAATGCAATCATTGTGGTAAATCCTTTATACAACACTGTAATCTCCAAAATCATAAAAGAACACATACTGGAGAGAAACCCTAAGAATGCAATCATTGTGGTAATGCTTTTGCAAGTCATGGTCAGCTTCAAATTCATAAAAGAACACATACTGGAGAGAAACCTTATGAATGTATTCAATGTGGGAAAGCCTTTTCACTACATAGTAATCTCCAAAAACATAAAAGAACACATACTGGAGAGAAACGCTACAAATGTAATCAGTGTGATAAAGCCTTTGCATATATCCGTAGTCTTCGAGTTCATGAGAAAAAGTCATACTGTAGAGAAATTCTATAAATGTAGTCAGTGTGTTACCATTTTGCATTTTATGATAGTCTTTATACAAGAGTAAAACTTTCAGTGTATAATTGATCTAATGAATTGGTCTCTGGCATATCACAATAGTCTTTGATGGCCTGAAAAAAAAACTAATACAGGAGAGAATTTGACTATGAAGGATTTGGAAAGATATTTAGCCAATTACATGTAGTTACACAAGATTCTGGAGAAAAAAAATCTGACAAGTGTCAACAATCTGTTTAAGAATTATAATGTCCCTCTTTATTTTGTTTTCATGTGCAAAACTCATGGACAAAAGCCCTATGAATTTAAATCATAAGGTAACCCTTTTAAATTTTATACTTCTTCAATTTTGTGAAATAATTCATGCAGGTCTTAAATTTTATGGATATGAGTTAGTGTCTTTTCTGTTGCTGTGGTAAAATATGATGTCTAAGTCAACTTATGAAAGAGTTTAATTTGGCCCTTTGGTTGCAGAGGGATATAGAATCACCATGAAAATGGCATGGCAACAAATATCAGACATGGCAGCTAAAGCAGGAAGCTAAGAATTCACTTCCTGAGCCTGTAATATGAAGCAGAGAGGAGGACCTGGAAGTGGTGTGGATGTAACTCTCAGGCCCACCCCAGTGGCATATTTTTTTTTCCAGCAGGGCAGCATTTTTTAAATCTTCCCAAATGATACTACCTATTGAGTAGGGCTGATTTCTCTGACTTCAAGCATTCTTGCTTGCTCTCTGTTAAATGAACAGAGATTTCCTGATGAAGAAAATCTTTGTAAGTAAGCCTTTGAATGCCTCAACACTTGTATTACAGGAATGAATGCTTACATGAGACAAACATTCATGAGTGAAAATTTAATGACTTGTTTTAATTTATCATCTTGATGTTAGCAAGTGGGGAAGAACATATTCAAGAGGAAAACCCTATCTATGTAAACAATTTGGTAAAGACTTTAAACCTCATAGTTGTCTACAGTTTCAAAAAAGTCTTTTTCATCATAGCCTGAAAGAAGTAAATTATTTACCATGTTGAATCAAGTGTAATAGTAAAGTCAACCATTGTGGTTGTGGATTGTATTTTGAAAATTTGGGAATAGGTATTGAAGGTTGCTCCATGTGTGGCTAATCCATTTAGTAAATTTTATTGGGCGGTTTTTATATTATTTCTGTGGTTTCTATTCATCTTCTATTGTATTTTTATCTGGTTTATAGGTATTTTTCTGCTTCAATGTATAGAATAGGTTGAATCTAAGTGGTCCATTGTTTATTTAAACATCAGGCACTGTGTGATCATACTTTTCAAGTAAGGGTATCTGTGAAAGGATGGTGGGTTTTTGTTCCAGTTTTTGTTTTCATATTTTTACAAATTCCTTTGAGATGTTTGTTATCTAGCTGGCTTAAATGTCAGTAATTAGTCAGGGATGCATTTCAACTCTTGATTCTCCTATGTCAGCCTCTTGAGTACAAGTCCAAGGATAGAAGACATACCTGCAATGTACACTGTTTTGTGTATACATTTTAACAATGTTAATGTTAAAATGCTTAATAGAAGAGAATATAAGAAGCAATAAATACCTCATGTGTGTATCTAAAGCTGCATTTTAATCTCTCTGATAGAGATGTAATAAAGTAGGACAAATAGTAATCTACTGTATATCTCACAGCATCACTTGATGTGATATGGCTATACATATATTATTTGATGTTCCATGCTTCTTCCTGTACACAGTAGTTATATATTTGGCACTTTATCTTGAAGTACTGCCTTCTAGGGGAATTATCTAGAGATGCCAAATAACAATAACAGCAATGAGATTTATTTAAAAAATTCTGGTGTGTGTGATGTGATGTGATTATGGGTTTTTAGGCCATGACATATATGTGGAGACCAGAAGACAACTTTGTGGGGTCTAATTTGGGCCATCTTTATATGGATATCAAGGTCATGTTCCAGCGCTGCACACCACAGACATTTCCCACTTAGCTGTCTTAATGATGCGCAAATAAGATTAGCTGAAACATTACAACAATAAAATATCTTTTCAGTATGTAAACATATTGTTATCTAAAGATGGAGGAAAGTAGGACAATTTGAATAAAAAATTCTATTTGTAAATGAAAATGATATACTGATGTCTCTTCTTTTTCCTTCCTTCTTTCTTTTTTTTTTGAGGGGGGGACGTGTTAAGACTAAACACTTGTTCATAATACTTCCTCAGAACCATAAATGAATGCCTAAGATGTTTCTCAGTGGCTAAAATTCGTTACTGCTAAGCCTGATGACCTGAGTTTAGTCTCTAGGAGACCTATATTACTCCTACAAGTTTTCTATTATTTTTCATTTGGGCTTTGGCATATGCACAGCCACATACCAGCACATACATAAATGAATCTTATACCCAAATAATGCCCAAATGAGGTCACATACAGCCAAACTAGACTCCCTACATGTCAGCTCTAAAACTCACATAGGGAAAGTAGACATTAGACACATATAAGTTGTCCTCTCATTGTTATATTTACATCATTGTACAGGTTTGTACACACACAGTTCAAACAGTTTTTAAGTGGATGAAATTAACAAAGCAAAGAAAATAAGACAATTGTTAAGAACATATGAAATGATTTGCCAGTTTAAATTATTATTATAGAATTTCAAGAAGTATTACTGCACATCAAAACAATGGTGGTTCTTTTTTAAATCTTATTTTATCCTTTCATTCACTCATTCATTTTAAAAAACATCTCTGCTGGTCTTAGAGGTGCATGCTTATAATTCCAGCACTTGAGAGACATTGGCAGGTCAGTCTCTCTGATTTTGAGGCCAGCTTGGTCTACATAGTGAGTTCTAGGACAGCCATGGCTGTGTACAAATATCTTGTTCAAAAAAAGTTCCAGAGGGCTGGAGAGACGGCTCAGAGGTTAAGAACACTGGCTATTCTTCCAGAGGTCCTGAGTTCAATTCCCAGCACCCACATGGTGGCTCACAGCCATCTGTAATGAGATCTAGCTCCCTCTTCTGGCCTGCAGGGATACATGAAGACAGAACACTGTATACATAATAAATTAAAAAAAAAAGTTCCAGAAAAAAAGAGCGTATTTCAAATTATGGAACTTTATCTAATACATTTTGACTGGACTCTGGTTGCAACAAAACCTTTTGCAATCTTTGCTTTCTTTAAGAGAACCATGTTAACAATGAAAATAAGAAATGTGGAGAGTCCATTCACAGAGGGATAGAAATCCATTGAATTCTTCGACCACCATCTAACAGGGACTTTCATCTCCTTCAAGTGATAGGAGACAGAAGGAGTAATTGAGCATCTTCATCTTCTGCATTATAATGGCATATTTCAGAGCTGAAGGGTTTGCTCAGTAATATTGCTCCTCTTGGCTATTGATGTTTGGTTCTGAGCACCCACATCAGATGGTTCAGAACTACTTGTATTTCCAGTTTCAGAAGATTTGATGCCTCTTCTAGCCTCCCAGTTCACCAGATATACAAATGGTGAAAAGACATATATGTCATTCCAGATTATAAAAATTGTTTTCTTCATGTATATAGTATTTTTTTAAAAAAGAATTACAATTAGTTTATGTATAAGTCTTGCTCACTGTATATACCAAATGCATGTCAGATACCAGTAGAGAGCAAATATGATGTCAGATCCTCTATGACTGAAGTTAACAGAGTTCTGAACTGTCTTTTGGGTGCTGAAAATTACATCAAGTTCCTGGGGATGAGCAACGATTGCTTTTAGCTACTGAGCCATCAATTCAGCTCCATGAGCATGTCATTAACAGCAGTAAGGTGTGAATGCCTTATCCTAAGCTTATCTTATTTCATCCCTGATGACCCAGAAGCAATATAAGATGGGGCCCCAACAATAACTCTACCCAATCCAGAATGGTGCCATGGCAATCATCATCATACTACACTTCTTGCCAGAATTTCAGACAATCTTACTCATTACTCTAAGACTTGCTGCAGAACCTACAGTTAGTCTAACTGAGATTTAACTATCTGAGCTTTCTCACAGTACCCAACAGAGATAACATCACTCCCTAAACAGCAGGAAGCAATTCTAAGAAAATGACTCCCCTTCTCCCTTAGGTTTCATAATTCTCAGGGCTATGGATGATGGTTATAGGGTTGGGGGTGGAAGAAAATATTAGACTCAGTATTCTAAAAAAAAGGGGGAAAGAAGAAATGGAGTGGATAGGTATAAGATATTATGGTAGATTATTGTATATACTAGTAAACAAATTTAGTAAAATAGCAGCCTTAGATAATTTGCACTGCTATGGATTCTTATATGTTGATACAAATGTAAACTATTTTTATATTCCTGTTTAAGATAATTTGTATATTGATAAAAATATAGAACTATATTTGTTATAATGTACATATATTTCTACTCTTAT